TATCTGGAGGGCCGTCAATACCTGTTGCATTTCATTTTGCGTATGGGGTGTGGAAGAGAGGTGGGGTCGGGGGCGTATGGGGACGAAATCGTGAGTCACGGTGCACAGTACTGTGGTTCTCGTTGTTGAAGCAGAGTCAACGCAGCGGTCCATTAGAGCGGGATCAGCAATACTTTAGTCGACGCTGCGTCGAAGGTAGTGGCGTGTGTACAGAAACAATTACTTGTAGTTGCTGCGTGCAGCAATACCACAACATATGAACAGCCGTGGTGTGCCGCGTAGGTGCCCGCGCGTTTGGAAAGTGTGCAAGCGAAACCAGAGCGTACGCCGTTTTTCCCTGGCTGTGGTACGTCTACAGCAGTACTTCCTATGCCAGCGAAGCGACGTTCGTGTGACGGTACAAGGCACGTTCCCTATCGATCCATGTTCTGCCACCACAGCAGTACTGCGGTGTACTCTCCGATGCCAGCGAGTGAAGTTGTGCACTACGATCCAACGGATCGGCTCACTGCTCGGCACATCGCTGCAGTTCACCACCAACAACAACCTGTTTCTACTCGTGTGTTGCACCATTGACGCGTTGAAAGCCAAATAGGGTGACGGTGGGTGAACGTCCAACGAGACAGACAAATGGCGGCTTCGCCACCTGAAGCCAAAGCCAATGTACATCGAACTGGAATATACCAAACGTCACTGGACGTATGTATCTCGCACAAGTATGAAATACACAAGCTGCTGTGTGCATACCATGTATCTCACGGCCATTGGCCAACTTAATTGAAGCACTTGAGTAGCAGCAGCTTGACTGCTGTGTATCTGCCTGCTACAAGGCGTTCGTGAGCACCTTGCTGTTGACATGCGTGGTGTACTCACATACATCGAGCTCAGTTGGAAAACGCGTGCATTAGGTTTTTGCTGTATAACACGACCCAAACGCACCGGCACATGTTCGGAATACCACTGCTGTTCACCACCTGAACTATCTGTGTTGAACGTACATACAGCGAGCGGTGTAGGTGTATCACACACGGACAACGGGAAGTACGCTGCGTGCCAGAGCCACCTTGCACGGCGGGACTAAATACTGCGATCTGTTAAGCATAAACACAACCGGTGCTTTGTGTATCGTCAAAAAGACCTTGACAACAGAGCACCAGAGGGTACGCTGCTGTGTACTATCAGAGCAACCGTGCACGGCTGGACTGAACAACGAACTACATGTACAAAGGGACCACGAATAGCACAACAGGTGCAAAGTGTATCGAAGAGACGATGGGTACAAGAGGCGAGCGGTGCCACAGCAGTACAGTCCAGACCGATAGGAGCTCACCTTCAGTTCAATTGGTATCCCCTGACGTCCGACAGCATCCTTTTCTCGCACAGAGAACCACTTCTTCCCCCTCGCCATCTTCACCAGTTCTAGAAAGAAGGCGTGAGGTACCCGGAAGCGAGTGTGGAAGACCTTCGCCTCCTCTGTGGTGTGGTCCAACAGGTCTGCGTTTTGCTGCACACCACGCCGAGGTACTCCAATTTCTTCGCTCCTTCACTTGCCTCGAACGCTTCACGGGCGGACCATCCTGCTCACCGCTATCCTCCCACTCGAAGGCGTCGTCGAAGGCGCGTAGTGCGACGG